CAATTGTCTATCAATTGTTAAAAATAATCATAAAATTTGAAACATCTTTTCGATTTGGATAATAGATTTTTGAAACTGCAATTCTAATTACATATATAATTGCTAATGCAAGTGGCACACTTTGTTTATTATTTCTATTATGTAAATAAAGATTATAGTAGAAAGTATTAAAAGTATAATGTGGTATTGTTATTATTTTGATGAGCATATTTTTATATTAATTACACTAGTTTTATTTTTGACATCTTTTTTTTTTATAACTGTCTCATACATAAGCTTTGGAGCTTATTTAAATTTACCTTTCAAAGCATTATTATTATGGTAAATCTTAAATAAATCATCCCAATATATCCTGATAGACAATTAATATTACAGTGGTGTACACTGGACTTTTAGATGTTTGAGTTTTGACACTTATAGGTATTGTGCAAACTCCAAACTTTTGTATGCTTATACTTATGTCAAATGAGAATGTTTTGCAAAAAGTTGTGGTGATTGGAGCTTGGGGACAAAAAAAACCCTAATTTTTGGGCCCACCCAGCCCTTAACATGGGAGCAACAAGTTGATAAAATAATTTTTTTTAGTATTTTTATCTAAGTTTATATTCATCAACAAATTTCAAATTTCATCCAATAATTTCTTATTTTTCGAAAATTATGAACATATAAAATTTTAACCCCCCTTAATTTGAGGGGGCTGTAAACTTTGTAGGGTCATAAAAATCCCAATTTGTTTAACAAGACGAAATAACAAATAGGCACAAGCTTATAACAAGCTGGAACATAAATTTTCTAAATCTAAATCAGCCACTAAACCCAAAAAAATGAAACAGTAGATTTTTAAAAAATAATATTAAAAATTAAAATGAATTTATTAATGGTCTCTCCTTTATTCTATTTCAAGAGCCAAAGGTTGCAGACAACCATTTATAGTTGCATAGAAGACAAGTTATAAGATTAGCTTCTAAGGTAATTTAACTAAAGGTTTGTTAGCTGTTACTTTCACTTTTCCATGACTTTTAAACATTGTATATTAAACCATGGACAAAAACCAAGCTATAGACTTGGTAAACTTTTTTAAGAAATTGAAATAAAAAATATATAACTGGGGATGAGATAAGATGTTCTACATATAGAAAAAAAAATATTAAAAATTAAGTTAAGCTTTACATATACAGGCTTGGTCTGTATATATAAAGCTTAACTTTAGTAATATTTAGTTGCCAAAAACCGGCCAGATTTTTGAGTCGTTTTGAGAACATTTCAAAAACAAACAAAAAAGCGCAAAAAGATTAACTGGACCAATGAGAGACAGTTAAAAAAGAAAAATAGCTTTTAACACGAAAAAATTTTAGGCTAAATAAATACGATTAGAGCAAATATTTTTGAAACGTCGCTTTTTTTAAATTTTTTTTATAAAACGAAGTCACATTTTTTATATAAAGTAACAACTTACTATTAATGATTGTTTAATAAGGTAACAAATGTTCTCCGATTTATCAAAGAGTATATATAATTTTTATTTATATACTTATGTCTTAATTACAGTGCTGGATTGAGGAGATGGGGGGGAGTAGAAGGACTATAGCCTCGGGACACATAATGTTAGGGGCCGCAAAATAGTCAAGAGGACCATTCAATATTTTTTTCAGTCATTTTTACGCTGTGGCACATAAAAAAAGCCGCCAAAATAATGTAGTCCCCGGCCCTGAAAAGTCCAACAAAATTCAACCAATAAAACTAACGTTAGATGATTTATTTATTAATAAAAAAGTTTTTTCAATAACTGTTTTATTCTTTGCGTAGTTTGAAAAGTTTAACACATTTAAAACAATTTTTCTTAGTAAGATGAACAAATAAAATAATTAAATCATTGAGTTAATGTAGAAATTCAATTAGCTAAACAGAAATTAACCAAAAACGTTAAATTACTATGTGAGAAGGAAGCGAAACTGCTTCATAATAACGCTGATGATGTTTAGTGAGTGGGTTTTATTATTTTAATTAGTATTAAAACAGAAAAAATATTTAAAACAGAATGGTATTTAAAACAGAAAAAAGTAACTTTATGTTTAAGTATAACAAGTTTGTAAGAATGGCTGAAGCAAAAATAATTGAAGTTAGTAAACCAATTTCTAAGAATTTAAAAACTTATCTTTCTCGGGGGAAAGAATCAGTTATCGGGTACACTGAGGAAAATGGATTAGTGGTTAAAATTATTTGTATTAACTTTGATGATTATTAATTATTTATTAGAAATTTCGGTTAGTATTTTTTGAACCAATAGAATTAGTTGTTCGTAGATTTGGCAGGTTTTTTTTGTGTTTTTTTTTACTTTTCCGCACAAAGATTGTTTGAGAACATTTGAGTTTATGTTTTGATGTATGTCCATAAACAAAATTATTCAAAATTTATGTTAAAATAATGAACTTAATTAAGGAAACATATATATATTTAAATGTTCTCAAAACAAATAAAATATCTGGCTGGTTTATTGCAACTAATATATTAACAAAGAAAACACAACTTTTTTTATGGTACTTTAAGTTTCATGCCTATACAGCAATCATCAGCCATTGAATACAAAATCAAAAACAAAAAACCTGCTAAAAATTACAAAATACTGTGTAGTGGGATCTTATTGTCGTTAAGACACTCTTGATGGCAACCAAAGAAAAAACAAAATATTAGCTAATCTCCGGTGTGAAAAAAAGATAAAAGGAATTTATTTTTGTGTCTGCATTTTGAAATCAACTCATTTCGTTTATTTAATAAGTTATCACCTTTATATGTTAAAATGAGGAATTTTTTGAATAAGCAAAGATGGCAAATTTTTGACAAGACGTTATAAGTATTGCAACGTTTTACAATTTTCCACTTAATTAAGGGTGTAAACATTTTGTCTTTTATGTCCCAAATTTCTTTAGACAACTCGGTATCATTTTTATATGTGTTAATGTTAAAAGATTTTAGGTGGTTCGCATACCGAGATTTGAATGGAGTTTCACATAAGCCAAAATATACTTTTTCTTTGTAGTCAGGTTTATTTGACGACACAGTGACTTGATAAACGATGTTTTTTGTCAAGCACTGATTGTTTATGGGACAGATAGATTTGTTGATACAATTGCATGTTTTCCCTCATCTTTATCTTGGCTATATAATATCCTGTGGTTGTGCGAATTAATGATGGACTTGATATTTGGTATACATGAGTAGCTTATTTTAATGGTATTTCGATTAAATATCTTACGAAGTTTGTGACCAATGGGAAAATGTAGAAAAAGTTGTGTTTTCTTTGTTAATATATATGTGTGTGTGTGTGTATATATATATATATATATATATATATATATATATATATATATATATATATATATTAGACCATTTTCAATAGTGTCAACCGTATTTGTGTGCCGCCCAAATAAAGTTTTTTTTTTTACTTTTTTACGACAAATATTGTTTTCTCCGCACAAAAAAAAAACGATTTTCCGCTAAAGTTTGCTGGAACGAAGGGGTACCGCCATCAAAATATTTTTCCTAGAATAGACCCTGTATGTATATATATATATATATATATATATATATATATATATATATATATATATATATATATATATATATATATATATATATATATATATATATAACAAATTATTATATAAATTAATAACAAATGTCATACTTTAAAGCTACAAAACAGGTGATTAAGAAAAATACTTTGAAACATGATATAATTGGTAATAACCAATATTTGATGGAGTATATAAATATATTAATGGGTTATGAAACTACAACCTTACAATTTAATTTGGATAACTACCATAACATATTAATTTTTAACGTAGTTTTGAAAAATCAACAACCATAGGTTTTTTTGGTTTAAACTCCTTGCTTAGTCACATTTTTCTATTAAATAAAAGAATTAGTCATTTTACTTGAGTAAATAATATTTTCTATTGACATTACTGTTGTAATTCATCAACCAATACATCACTATTAAATGTTCCATATAGAAGCTTTGCCACTTTTTCTATTTCCATCTAGTTTCTTAACTTGGAATGAACAAGTCCAAAAGCACTAGAAGCTGGCGCACTCAACAACATTTAATATCTAAGATAATTCTGCAGTTTAAATATTTTAAAGATTTCCATCATTTGTGATACATTTTTTAAAACAGAATTATAATACAAATAGCTTTTATCAAATAGAGCAGATTTGTTTTTTAAATTGAAAATTATTGGTACCAAGTTCTTAAACTCATCATCTCTAAAGGTCATTGTAGCTTTATTTTCATTTTCAGAAAGATTAGATCCAAAATATCTAGAATCTATCATGTTTGCAAAGAAATTAGCATCACTGGCATACTGAAGAATCCAGATTCCAATAATTTTTTTTTTTAGTTGATAAAAATAATAACATGTTTATCAGCTGAATAAAAATTTCAACAGTGTCATTTTTTTTTGTCTGATCTCTTTGCAATTTATCTAGAGCAACTCTAATTGGTTTCAATATTTTCAACAAAAATATAGTTTGCCTTTAGTTGATATTTTTTAGATTGGTTGAAACCATAAGTTTAAACCATTTGGTTTAAACATATTAACCCTGATTGTTACATTAACAAGTATTCATTGTTTTATGTATAATGAAAGTAAAAAAAAAAAAATTTTTAATGATCTTATTTACTTTTGAAAATGATGGTTATAAAAAAGCAAATAAAGACGAGTATAAAAAGGTTTAATTTTTTTGTAATCAACTTAATATGCTTTAAAACTTCTGGCCATAAATACTTGTGTTAAAATATTTTATTTATAATTTAAATAAAAATAAGAAAAAGACAAATGTATGAAGGATAAAGAAATAAGTATAAATGCATGATGATATTTTGTATGAAAAATCAATTTTAAAATTTGGTGTAAAAATTTTTATACAAAATTTTAATAAAATTTGGTCAAAATTTTAATAAAATTTGGTCTAAATTTTTATAAAAGCAACCTCACCTGACAACATCATCATAATTGTTTCTATATACACCCTCAAGATTTTCTGAAGGAAAGCCCATTGCAATTATGTTTGGCTTGATATCTAAAAAACTTTTTTAAGGATTTAACTATAAACACTTTGTTTAAAAATTCAAAATTATTAAAGGACTAACATACATTATCATGTTCCTAACATAACTAGATGACCATTAATAGGATTAGCTATATACCAATTATATTGGATAACAACCAAATTTATGCAACTTTAAAATCATGTTTAAAATCATTTTATAACACTTAAAATCTGATCAAAATTTAAAATTGAACCTGATCAAAATTTAAAATTTGGAAATAATTAAATAAAATATAGTTAAAATAATAAAAAATTTTAGTTTTTATTTTATATTTTTTATAAAATAAGGTCTTCTGAAAAAGATACATGCGAGGTCCAAATCAAACTCATTGTCAATGTATCTTCTTTTTTTTTTACTAACTACATGCTTGATGTAAGTCATCTCCTTTCTATTCTAGTCGATGTTTAGTTAACAAAATAAAATCATTCATGATTTCATACCAAAAAAATTGATGTCCTAATAATAATTTAAAATTTATTAAATAATTAAAAATAACCAAAAAAATTTAACATCTATATACATACATATGAGCACACGAAATAAACAAAGTGAGCAGTCAAGTTGCTTATTTAATGCCAACAATAATAGATTCTGCAGTCTGCAGAATCCTAGCAACTTTCATACTAAAATCAATAATCTAACCTATAAACACACCAGATCGTATATTGATTAGGTATGTTAAACATGCTAATTTTTTTTCTTTTAAAGTAAAATTCTTTGTTTTATTTGAATTTTTTTCATGTGAAGTCTGGGAAATCAGATAACTTTTTTCTTTAATGCATTAGTCTATCTACTGGAAGAGATGTTACTGCGGCTTTGATATTGGATAAAAACAATGAAACATTGTGTAGTTTTATTTATCATAAAGCCGTTCTCAAAATTTTAAATTTATTTCAAATCAAGTTTTAACAGTTGAATTAATATTAAAAAAAGAATTTATCTTATGTAGTAAAATAAAAAAAAAATTATTTATATATTCATAAGTAAGTTAATACTAAATATATTATATATTCTATATATACTAATATATTATATATTCATAAGTAAGTTAATACTAAAGTTTTAGTAACTGTCATTAAAAACGTTTGACACATGATTTTTTAATCTTTTTCATGTCTAAATTTGCAGTTCAAAATTTTATATTTTTCAAATTTCTACTAAGTTTTAATTTTATAATTTCAATTTTATCATTTAGATAAACACGTTTTAAAAATAATAAACATTCCAATCTATCTGTTAGCAGTAATGACTTCATAACTTTCTGTTCATTGTTTGTACAAAACAGAAAACTGCTTTCTAATTTAACTAAACGTACAATTTAATTATTATCAAGTGAATATTTAAACAGATATAATATAAATAACGTATATACTGATGCATATTTGTAGAAATGAGTTTGTTACAACCAGTAAAAACCAGGTCATAAAGGCATAAAACTATTGACACTATATTTTTTTTTTTGTTGTTTGTAAGTATGCTTGCCAAAGTTTCAATAAACAATATATATAACAAATAATAATAAACAGCAGAATCCTGTTAACTCAGAAGAGATTAATGTTTTGAACTTTTCTGTTATAGTTCTAATTTTAAACTTCATTTAGCTTCAACTTTTTTAATAGATAGACTTTATTATAAGCTTGACCAATTTAAAGATATCAGTGAAAATATTTACTTTTTTAAATTACATTTGACACAAAAGTATTTGATATTCCAACATTTTGAATTTGATTTGTTTTTGAATTTAAATATAGTAGTCATTAATAAATAAAATGTGATCAAAGCTGTTAATGAGGTTTTAGTTTAATAAATTATTGTAAATATTGGATTTTTTATTGAAGTGTCGCAAGTTTTAATATTTTATTACATAGACTTTTATACAATTCAAAGTAAAAGTCCTAGTTAAGCGAATATTACAGATGTAGTTACATTTTTTATAACTAATTATCTAAGTATAACAATAAGTTTTTACACTAGTTTTATCTTTTCAATTATGCTAAGAATAACTATAACTGTGCAATTATATCTGTGAATTGTTTAGATGTAGTTACATATTTTCAGTTATTTTAAGAAAAACGACAATAGTTTTTGAGATGTAATTATCAGGAAAAAATTATTAAATAATAATGTATTATTTTAACCAGATGTAGTTACATATAAATATGTAGTTACATATACATAGTTTTTTATTTGTACTAAAGTTCCAATAGCTTATTTGTAGGATAATTACTAAGATAATAGTTTCCTGACGATTTACATTTTAAACGTGTTCTATTTATTTATGATCACTTTGCCATCCTAAATATTGTAATAAAAATGATGCAATTAACAAATTTATAACATATATATAAAGGTAGACTTTTTACCTACTACAAAAAGCTACCGATATTTCTAAACAAACATAACACTCATTTCATTGCGATAAATGGCTAAATATACTCAAGCTCAAACAATATTAAAATGCCCTAAATTGCACGAGCTATTGGGTAATGGACTCAAACTTTGTTTACCAGAGCTGCCTACGCTGAGAGATTGTTTACGATATGGAATTTTGTTGCGTGATAGATCAATTACAAATTTGGATACAAGATGTATGTGTACACAAATATTTATTAAAATAAAAAAAATTTGGATGTCAGCAAATTCTATAACCCCGTTGGTCTCAGAAAAATATGCAGTCGATAAACTTGCCCTTGAATGGAATATTGCAAAAAACATTGGAAAATTGAGAACTACGAAAAGATAAATATGTATATGGAAAAACTTGATAAGTTTTTTAACATGACAAAATGTAAGTGCAAATTCTTATGCTGTAATGAAAATAGATGCAATGGTTGTCTTTTTAAAGCTCGTGTAACTTGCATATGTCCAAAAGTAGCAAAGATACCTTTGCAAGAACTATTTTTCCAACAACCTCAAAGAAATAAAATTGGTAACAAAAATTCTTTACAAATAGGATTACTTGATATATCAGAGACATCGATTAACAAGATATTTGGGTAAAAAAGAATCAGACTCTAAAATACCTGGAGCAAATAGTGAGGATATAGGTAAATGCTAAAATATTAAAAACATTTTTGTCAATTTTTGTTTAAACTGTGAAATAAAAAATTGATCATAAATTGAGTATAAATTATTTTTATTAAAATTATTTAACAACTTATTTTCTCCTTTAGCAGTAGTATTTCAAACAACAGACGATTCAGAGATTGGCAACGAAAAAGCAACTAATACAGAAAAAGCTGACTTCAGTTTAAAAAAAAATTACTTAAATATTACCAGGGTTTCTTAAGCAGCTATTAGGTATGGGGAGCAACAGCCATAGCTATTGCTACTTTAGCTTCTGCAAAAGATGCAAATTTTTCAAAGAAAAATACTGATATTTTTGTTGATAACAACAAAATAAAATGAAGTAAAACTAATGAAAGAAATCTGAGGTAGAGCTGAAAAAGTTGCAATGAATGATTCAATGTTTATTTTTTGATGGAGGAAAAGATTTAACTAAGTACATGAGAGAAGAAGATGGAAAATTACATCCATCAGAAAAAAAAGGAGAACATTATTCAGTTTGTTCTGAACCTGGAGGAAAATACCAATTTCATTTCACTAACAATTCTGAAGAAAGAGTAGAGACTGCAGCTGAGCAAATAGCTGATAATCTTTACGAATGGATTGTGAATCATAATGTTGGAGACTATTTAGTTGCCATTGGTGAAGACTCAAATTTAAATACTGGTTGGAAAGGAGATGTTATCCACTGCCTTGAACATAAATTGGATAAAAAACTAATGTGGATCATTTGTGCTTTTCATACAAATTAACTACCTCTCTGATATCTTATGGTTCAACTTGACAGAAAAAATGCAACTAAATATAACTTTTTTGGTTTAATTGGAAAACTTATAGGTAAGGCTACTAGCTTCTAAGTCAAAGATAGCATAATAAAAATTGAATTTCCTAATGCAATAATAGAACTTGACTCTGAAGTTGTAAAATCGCTATCAGATGGTCAAAAGCATCTTTATCAAATTACCCATGCAATTAATGCTGGGGTTTTTTCTAGAATAACGTAAAGGTAAAGAAATTGGGCCACAATCGCATGCAAGATGGTTGAATTTTGTAAATATAATAAGTTTACTTTTTCGCTCCAAAAGTGTACTTTCAGTTGAAGAAACATGTAATCTTCAAATTCTGGTGGAGTTTATTGTTGGAGTTTATGCGCCACTTTGATTTGAAATCAAAGTGAAATGGAAATGAACTAAAGAGCTTTACCATATACTCAAGCATATAAAACTTCTTTGTCAAAGACTTAAAGTTAAAGACATTGTAATATCCTATGTTTTATCTTCTTCATGGAATTCTCATAGTGAAATAGTTCTTCAAGCATTGTTATACAGTTGAAACAATTTTAAAATTAAGAGTAGATTTTGAATATGGAAACACTAATGTTAGAAGTAGAAAACATCATATACATAATGAAAATACTGAATCACTTTTTGATCTAATTGATTGGAGTTTGGATGTACACGAACCTTTACTTAAATGTTTATTGTCAAAGGATGAACTTTTAAAATACAATGATATTCGTATGTATGTACCTTGTTTTCCTGGAAAGCTATCGAACGATGTTTCCAAGAAGTCACAAGAGCTTCTCAATCAGTATTTGGAAAAGATATAAGAGATGGTTTCATCAGAGCAACATAAGCACATCGAGAAATCATGTCCGTAAACCAATCAAAAAAAGATCTATTTAAATTAATTTAAGCAATATGAACTTTTTTGTTGTTTTGCTATGGATTTTAGTTATAATTTCAGTAAATAAGTTGAGCTTTAAATATATTGTATCTTTTAGATGATATTTTATTTAGGACCAATAAATTTTTAATCCTTCAGAAAGTTTGCAAATTACTGTAGGACTAACTATCTTATTTATTATCTATAGAGCAAATAAGTTTTTGTCCTCTTCTAATATCCTAAAGCAAACACAGTATACTTATGTATATGTTTTTGTATGACTTTATGAAGAGTAGCACCCAAAATTATGTTTTATTTTGATGTCTATATTATGCCAAGTTGTTTTTTGATGATTGCATCACCATAGGCTTATGAAAAAAAGCAGAAAAGTGCTAATTTGATGCGTTTTTAGTAAAACTGTCATTTTTTAAACGCGCTGCGCCCTCACAAAACAAATTTTTTAAGAAAAAAAAAAATTATTCACGTCTCTTCTAATATCCTAATACATATAAAAAATATTGCGCACGCTCCCATGTTTAAAATTTTAAAAGTACGACCCATCCTTATATACATTATTTTAACCAGATGTTACATATACATACTTATGATTTTTTTTTCAGATGTAATTACAACTGGAGGAAATTCTTCCAGATGTTAAACTTGGAGAGAAATTCTCAGATGTAGTTACATCTTCCTTAAGATGTTGTTAGGGGTCATTGAATTGC